AAAAAAAAAAAAAAAGATTTTACTTATAATAGATGCATAAAGAACTGGGGTGCAGGCCAGAGATGCAGGAGCAGTGAGAGGATTCACCAGAGACAGAGTGGGTCAGAACAGACAGATTGACAAGGTACACTGCTGAGGGGAGCAGCGGGCCAATCCATAGAGGTGTGCAGCGCCATGTAGATCATCTCTGGGGCCGGGGATCCAACTTGCACTGAAGTGGCTGCGGCTAGCTAGCTTTGCAGTGCTGTGTTCTAACCTATTGTACCACCAGGGAGGGCCTGGGATAATGACTTTTTAAAATATGCTTTGTAATTGTATTTTAGCATTAAGGGTTTTTTTAATACTAAGATGTTTTTCTGTGACTTAACGATTAAAAGTAGATCACACTTATTTTTAAAGCAAAACTGCAATTTGAGTCTGGAATATAAAATTGAAAATAAAATAACTAACAAATGTCTATAAAATTATGAATGTTGATAAAAAGCTACAGATGAAGTAACATTGGAAATATAAATATAAAACTCTTAAATCTGTCTTCTGTCCTATACTAGGAAAGTTGAAGCCATGGGGACAATCTAAAGAAAACAGTTCTCTGAATGAACATGTAAACAGAGTTAGCTTCCATAAGAAAACTTACAAACAACCTCGTCTCAACGTCAGGTGAGTATATTATTATCCAGTTCTATAGTTTTTAATTTTGAAATACTGTACACAAAAAAACAGACCTCCTAGCTATAGAGTCTCAGTAATAGTGGTATTTTAAGAAGCTGGAAGTGAAATCACATACAGAACTTTCTAAAAGTGCATGTAAGTAGGCCTCACCATGATGGATTCATATTCAGAAGGTTTGAGGTAAAGAGCAAGGATCTGCATTGTTTTGAAAGCTCTACAAATGATTTAGAAGAGGACCAAGACTCAACATGCTCTCACATGACCACTTTATCCAAACAGTGCCATGGGTGCCTCTCCAGACACCTACAAATCCAAGTGAGCAGGACTGCATTATGCAGGTCCATATAAATTGCTCACTCCCAGGGAAATCTGGCTTACTATGGTTGAGGCCCCGCACAGGGGAAAACCCCAGGATGATCCTTAGAGGCATGCTTATGAGGTCAGAGGTCACCCTGGGCTCATGGCATTTTGTGATTTTGAGCTTAACATTTGACTTTGACTTCCAGAAGTACTACAGCTTTCTCTTTTAAAAAGTCACAGCTGTAGGAGTTGGATTAAGTAAGTCACCAAGGTACCTTCTGGCTCTTATTGCATGCTTGATTTTAGAATGCTGCATTAACATTAAAAGGAAAGCACTCATTTCTAGTACTTTAACAGAACGACTCACAGATGTGGGTGCCATGGCACAGGCCACTGGGGACAGACCCTGGGACAGTCCATTTTAAGCACATGTGCTGGATGTCATTATAAGTTTGGACATTATTTCAATATTAGTTGCTTTAAAGTGGTTGATTATGGAGTTTCACAGGAACTTAATGTGTACCTGTTCCTCTTAGGGAGGAGCAACGGAAGAAACATGAGCAAGAACGAAAAGAGAAGAAAGCTAAGATTTTAGAAGCTCGGAGGGGGCTCATTATGGCTAAAGATTAATTTCTCAGCATCCTATAAATATTCCTTTATTCTAATTCTTTCTTTTGTAAATATTTTTATACTGTCCTCCCCACTTTAGTGAAAAGAATTTTTCTACTCTTTGTTGTGTCAGAGGCTCTTTATATGCTACACCTTTAAAAAAAAAAAGAAAATGAATACCTTAAATGTTATAAATTCTTCTTCAAAATGGTTTTACCTGAATCCCTGCACAACTCAATTTTCCAATGAGACCCATCCTCTATATTATTGACCTAGGGTTTTTGGTATCAAGTTCTCTCTCCTTGCTCTTATATTAACAAAACTGCAGTTCTCTCCTGGGAAAAAGCATTTTTACTTGTAACAGCTAGTTATACCAGAAGCCTTATGGAAAATGAGTAAGTTAAGACTAGAGTAAGCATGGGTAGAAAAACCGCCTCCTAATTCTCTAGAGGATAGAGTAGTCATATAGTAGTCTTAACTGTGTGCCATCTGGGTGGTTATGGCATCAATCTTTTACCTGTTGTGAAGTGTTTTGTTTAAGCTTGTAAGTCCAGTTACTTCATGTAATCCATATGTTGCTTGGTATATTTTTTAAAACAAAACCCTATATAGCTCATTTTAGCCTTGCTTACTTAAGAAATATACAGGGCCATATTGAATCTGAGGTGTGCTGCTTTAGGGATTACTGTGCTTTGTCAAATTCACATCTTATTCAATTTAGGGAAATGAAGAGAGTTGTTCAGCATCATATCCATGTTTCTTGCATCAAGGTGATGCTTCTGCTTAAGTTTTGTCCTGCTTAAGATTTTCATAAATAAAAATTTTCTCATGGTGGTAGATTCATTTTTTTTTTTCTTAAAGATTTATTTATTCCTACAGAACTGGGGTACAGGCCAGAGGCACAGGTGTGGTGAGAGTATTCACTAGAGACAGTGGGAAGCAGAACAAGCCCACTGACAAAGTACACTGCTGAGGGGAACAGGGAGCAGCAGGCGGGTCAAGAGAGGCCTGCCGCACCATGTGGGTCACTTCCGGGCCAGGATCAGACTCATGCTGAAGGGCTTCAGCTTCTTAGTGACGTGATTTAACCTGCTGCACCACCAGGGAGGGCCTGGTACATTTATTCTTTTAAGCATAATTGGATTCCAAGATTAACCCTTTGTGGAGATTTTTGTGTCTCTCCACTCAATACCCCAAGAAGAAATGACTGTGTCCTTTTCTATGTCCACAGTACCTGTCAAGTTTTATTACATTCCTTAGTTATTCATATATGACATACTTCTCCTGGTCCCCTGGTTTAATAAATTCAGACTCTGCTATGAAAAGTTAAGAGGTCAGATCAATCAAGAAAGCTGTGAATGACCATTAAAGAGATTGATTTGAGAAATGCAAAATGATATGAATGCTTTGGAAAATAGTTTGGTAGTCTCCAAAAAGTAAATATACACATATCACATGACCCAGCATTTCTACTCCTTGGTATATAGCAAAGAGGAATGAAAACAGGTGTTCACATAAAAACTCATATGCAGATAGTTATAGCAGCATTATTCATAACAGCCAAAAGGTGGAGAGAAAGCCAAAAGGTAGAGAGAAACCAATTATTCGTGATATAAATGGATTTTTTAAATTGAAAATTCTGTAATGAAAAGGAATGAAGTACTGTTAAATATGCTGTGACTTAGCTGAACCACAAAGACATTATGCTAATTAAAGCCAAACACAAAATATCAATTATTCTATTTATATAAAATATCCATACAAGATAATATATAGAGAACTAAAGATTACTACTAGTTACATGGTATTCAGAGTGTACACTAAGGTTTCTTTTTAGACTGATGGAAGTTTTCTAAAATTTTCTTCTAGTAATTTACAATTGTATAATCCTGTAAACATACTTTATCTTTTTTTTCAAGATTTACTTATGCATACAGAACTGGGGTATAAGCCAGAGGTGTAGAGGCAGTGAGAGGCTTCACCAAAGGCAGAGGGGAGCAGAACAGGCAGATTGATGAAGTACACTGCTGAGGGGGTTAGCGGGTGGGTCAAGAGAGATCTGATGTGTCATGTGGGTCACCTCCAGGGTGGGGATCGAACTCACACTGTGGCCAGCTTATAGTGCTGCATCTTAACCTGTAGTGCCACCAGGGAGGGCCCGATGTAAATATACTTAAAAAAAAAAAAAACTGTATACTTAAAAAAAGGTAAACTTTTTTTGGTAAATGACCTCAATAAAGTTATTAAAAGTAAAAACAGCGGGCCCTCCCTGGTGGCGCAGTGGGTTAAAGCACTGCACTAAGAAGCTGGGGCTACTTCCGCATGAGTTCAATCCTCGCCTGCCCCGGAGGTGACCACTTGGCGAGGCAGACCTCTCCTGGCCCGCCCACTGCTCCCCTCAGCAGTGTACTTTGTTGATCTGCCTGTTCTGCTCCCTGCTCTGTCTCTGGTGAATCCTCTCACCCTCTGCATCTCTGGCCTGTAGCCCAGTTCTGTACGAATAAATAAATAAATCTTTAAAAAAAAAACAAAACAGCTATGTATGATAGGTTTTATGCCATAGATGATGGAAAAACTATTAGCCTTTGTGTATTCTTGTTAGCTTGGTTCTCTTAGAGTACCCTCGTGATCATAAAGTATCCTACCTTTTCTTCTCTTTTTAAGAGGACAAGAATTAATTTAAGCTGTTAATTAGTCTTATTTTTGGTATATCACTTTAATACTGAAAATGACTGGGTAAGTTTTGAGATCTAGTATCTGAATTAATTTCCAGTAGTTCCATTAAGTCACTATAAAGTAAGGATCCTGCATCTTAGAAACCAACTCTTGAAACAGGTAATGTGTTCCTGCTAAATTTATAATTCCAAGTAGAATAACACTGAGAGTAGAGACCTGGGAAGGTAATTAGGTGATGAGGATGGAACCCTCACGATATGTAAATTAAGAAGAGAGACTTATTTTCTCTTGGCCACATGAGGATACAGCAAAGAGCTGTCTACAAGTCAGGAAGTGGACCCTCACAGGCACCTTGATGTTTGATTTCCCAGCCTCCAAAATTGTTTAACCCACCTAGTCTGCTGTGACTTGTGGTAGCAGCCTGTGCGGACTAAGGTGGTAGTTATCTTTCCAGTGTGACTTTGACAACACTTTAATATTCTTTAGCAGTCTCTTTGCCTCAAATATGGCTTAGGAAACAAGAACCCTAGAAAGAATACATTAGTAGAAGATCATCAGTAGTTATCTGAGACTCCTTACCTTTTGAAGCCTACTCATGCAGCAAATGTTCCTAACAGGAACCATCTTGACCAAAAACAGTTACTTACCAAGACATCTATATCAATGGTGGCACTGCGCAGGTCATGGTATAGCTTAGAACGTATGTTTCCCTCTACATGGCCTTTCTTAGCAATAGCACTAATGATACATACCACACACTGATCAAATTTCACTAAAGAAATACTTTATTTTGTTTATGTTGTTGTGGATGCTACTTCCAGAACTACCACATGACCTCTACTTAAAAAGTCTTGGATTAAGCTCTGGAGAATTTTCATAGGCAAATTCTTCTGTGTGGGCTGGATCAGTAAATACTCCAATAAAATCTATTTCCAGGAAGAATGGACCATCTACTTTATCAGCCAGGGTGAATCCAATAGATGAGATCTAAATTTAAAATAGAGAAATTAATTAAAATCTCATACTCTGATATCCTGTTGTTCCTAGAGTTTTAAAATTTTATGAGGTGATTACTATCAGCTCTTAGCAAATGTACCACCAGCTCTTAGCAAATGTACCACAGTTGTCACATGGTATAAAAAAATTTAAGAGGAAGCAGAGGACTGCTGTTTGTTCCACAGTCCTTTTGCTTTAAGTTAGTGCCACTTTAGTAAGGATGTCTAGTGGAGTTTCCTTAATTCTAATATTGTTCTCTAATTTTAAAGCTAAAATAAAATGTAAAGCTACTGATGAAAAGATTACCACACTGACATTCCTCCAGGATGGTGGTTTGGGCTGAGTCAATGTCTGTCTGTCATAAAAGTGGTGGCCTTAAGTAAGAATTTCCATTTTCTACTTACCAACCTACAAAAATGCACTGAACTTATCCTCACAGTTGTTTCACTAAAAATAATATAGTTCTCCACAATTGAGATGGAAAAAAAAATGTACAAAATGATGTAAAAATAAGCTTTTGAAATTAAAAAAATAATAATACAGTTCTGAGTGAAAATACAAGAAAAGTTACCTTGTCAAGGAGAAGCTGGTACTGGGCATCCCGGATTCTTCCTTGATTAGAGAAGAAAAATTTGGAGAAAGGAATCTGAAAGAAGAAAGCATTTACTTCACACCTGAATGTAAACAACTGAAACATGTCTGGAATTACAATAATAAAAGGGTAAGAGTTTAATTTCTACAAGTAATATATGCAGTTATGACAGGTAGCTAGCCAGAAGTCTCAAAGGAAAATTGATCTCGTAGAGTACAATTACAACTTTTAATGACAAAAGATAAATGATAAATTAGGGGGGGAAATGTGTGGGCAAAAGACTAGTATCTTAAACACAACTTTTATAAGATTTAATCTTTTATAAGAAAAAGATTAAACAACTCAATACAAAAACAGATAGGGTAAAACACACATTTGTATGTTAGCAGGAGTGAAAACTGGTACACCTCTCTTAGAGGTGCTAGGCAGTATTTAAGATGACCCCTAAGATTTCCACCTCCTAATGAGCACATACCTTCCCAAGTTTCAAATATTAATCTCACTAATGCTATGAGAAGACTGCAGAAGTAAGGTCTCAAATCAGTTGACCTTGTAGTAACTACTGAGTGATAACATTCTATAAAAAAAATTAATTGAATGGTGTGAGAGGCTAGAGGGTACAACTTCAGGCAGAGGGATCAGGAAAGGCCTCTCTGAGCTGAGAAGTTAGTTAAGAGAGGACACAGAGATGAACATCTGTGTGAAGACCATACCAGCAGGTTTAAGTACAAAGGTGGTGAGATAGAAATGAAGTTGTTGAGTCTGATACAGTGAAGAGGCCAGGGTGGAGGAAAAAGGGAAGGATGAGAGACTAAAGATGACAACAGGGATCTGATATAGGAGCAGTAAGTCCCGTTCAGGAGTTTGGAATTTATTCTAAGAGGAAATGGACTGGAAGTTTCTAAGCAAGTGGCTGATGTGAGCACCAAGGATACTTTCTTTCAAGTTTATGTACTGAAATCATTAGTAGGCAAAGGGATGGAAAAGGCACCGGAATTTGGCCCTCACTCCCTGAATTTCTACTTACTTGCCTCCAAGTTGACACTGTTTACCTTCTCAAAGTTTATTTACAAAATAAGACAGATTTCTATTGCAAAAAAATTTTTTTGTTGATTGTAAGAAATGAAGCATTATTCTTAAGGGAGTCTTTCCATACTAGCTTAACAGTGAAGAGGTGATTCACCCTGAAGAGGTGATTTGCACAAACTTAAAAAAAATAATTTTGAACATAGAACAGAGATGTTTCCGTGGCTTAGCACAAACCTGGCCATAGCTTTCTCAAAACATTTTGTGTAAGTTGACATTTATATCAGTGAAATAAGAGTTAATGTAAATCTTGGTTCTAGGTCCTTTTTCTCCTTCCCACACTTTCCAAGGGAGATTAATAAAACTACAATGTAACCATAATCTCAAAAGACCTCATTTTTGTTAACAGGAAAGAACTATGTTGTTACCTTGACCTCCTGCCAGTAGGGCCCCCCACGGGTGAACATGAAGTAACTGTACATTTGATTTGCCCTCTGAGTTATATTTGTGTCCTCCCTGATATTCACCATCCAAGGTCGACCATCACCACGGACTCGGAGATACAGAGTGTTGAACTGGGACCAATCATAAAACTTCTTCCTTTCAAAAGAGCCCTAAGGTACAGAAAGCGAAGTTTATTTCCTTTTATTTTTTACTGGCAAATTGGAGTCATCACCAAATAAGAGTCATCTCATGGTTCCACTTTCCATTTTTCTGCCTCAGCTGGCTTTCTACCACTGTAAGGAAACAAATAAATCTGGTGATTCTTATTTTTGTACAAAATCCTGACATAGTATTGCAATGTTCAAGATTATTGAGCCAGAGCAATGTTTGTTTACATGGCTAGGTTACTTGTGTAACTGAACAGAAATTAATTACTGGAGGTATTTATCTGCCCTGGCCTTATGGATCAGTGGCTTCTGAGTTGACTTTATGACCGTCGCTTTCCCATAACCCAGAAAACTACAAAAGAGCTCAAGTTTTAAAACTGGTATTTAATAACTACCATCCATTGAATGCATGAATGATTTAATCTTCACAACAGCCTTGTGAACTAGGTACTGTCATTGTACTCCAATTTATAGATGAAGGAACAGAGCACTCAGTAAGTGTCGAGCCAATGCGGTTTAAAATTATTTTTTTAAGAAAGAATAGAACTGGGGTACAAGCCAGAGGTACAGAGGCAATAAGAGGCTTCACCAGAAACAAGATTGAGGAACAGAATAAGCAGACTGTCGGAGTACAATGCTGAGAGGAGCAGCAGGTGGGTCAGGAGAGGTCTGCTGTGCCATGTGGGTCATGTCCCTGGCTGGAGATCGAACTTGTGCTGCAGTAGCTGTGGATAGCTTCACAGTGCTGACTTAACCCCGTGTGCTACTAAAGAGGCCCTGTTTAAAATTCTTGATAACCATCTATACTATTTTTCTCTTTCAAAGTGGAATTCACTATTAATTTCTAAAAGTGTTTATGTATAACCTTAGAGGTAACTTGATTTCAAGAATGCCAGTGCTCAGGTATAAACCATTATGTATTAGTTGTGTAATTTTGAACAACTTCCTTAATCTCCCCAAGCCTGTTTCCTTATTTGTAAAACTAGGGGAAAAAATCATACATATATACTGTGAGGAATAAGAAAAATAATGCATATAATGTAAATTGCACAACGATTGGTAGGGTACACTTAACAAATGTTATAAAGCATTTTCAATTTCTCCATAGTGGATATCAAACCACTAGAGTTATCTCCTACTGTTGAATGACAAAAGTCTAGTCTGTGGATTTTCAAGGGGGTCTGAAAAAAAAAATTCTCATGTGCAGTTTGTTGCCTGAGAAAGAACACATGCCTTTATTTTTGATCAGTAGCTGATGAACGATACTACTCCTAACTTCTGCCTTTCTCCTTAAAGCACAATACAGCTAAGCAAACATCCGGGGGCAGTGGCTAGGGCCAGGCATGACAGCCTGTCCAGTGCAGCCTGGAAACACCTAACCAGCAAATTCACAAAAAGTCCAAGACTGGTAGTGAGCAAAGGAGCGGACTTAAGTAACTTTGGAAATCAGTGTTCTGACTGGCAATTTGAAGGCTAAGTATAGAAGGAATTACACATAAAACTCTATATTCTAGTTGCTAAAGTTGTTTTTTATGGGTTAAAAATGAAACTGCCTTACATGTATACTGACTATGTAAACAGATAGTGAATGGTAGAAGACTGGTTTCTCATCACTACCAAATGAAGTTACAGATAATCCAGAAGCAGAAGATGAATCATGTAGTACTGACAGAACATCAGTATAAACTCAATTTTAGTTTAGTAGAGATAACAGGAATTACAGACGTGCGCTCCCTGGGCTGGTGTGCACACTTGTTTCCACTGTGAGGGCCTAGAAGTAGCCCTCTTTGTTGTCCACTCAGCAACAAAATGTACTCAGTGCCTGAATCTTAGTTTCCAATTCCATTTTCCAAGCAAAATGGATCAAGCTTCCTTCAAGAAATGACTGTTTCTAGGTTCAGAACAGGTCAACCACAAGATGAGCTGAGAACAAGAGGATATGCCAAAATGCGCTCCAAAAATGAGAGGAGGTATGTCAAAAGGGACAGGAGCCAAGCCAAAGGAGTTCCCAAAGGCAAAGGCCGAAACAATTTGAGCAACAAAATAAATGACATAGTACTAATTTAAAACCAAAATTTAAAAAACAAAGTATGTGTCCATACCAAATGACTAATTAATAAATGTGGAAGAAACAAATCTTGTTTACTTATGAATTCCAAATAATTCGTGTAAATATTACCCCTTGCAGGAGACAGAATTTAATTCCACACTTTACACCATGCCTTGAATGTAGGGTGCCCTTAATGATTTGTTTCCAAAGAACAGAATATGGAAAGGAGGGAGAAAAGTAACTCAACAGGGGACTAACCTGGCAAATGTTCCTTGATCAAGGAGAACATCAACAGTGGTAAGTCCTGTGGTACTCCATGCCTCTGATACCATGCGATAAGAAGGTACTTCAGCTCTGTGCTATTTTTCCTAAAACCCCAGAACCCTAGTCTCACCAGGAGGAAAAACATCAGAAAATCCCAAGTTGATGGTCATTCTACAAAACACCTGCCCTGTATTTCACAAATCAAAATGAAGATAAAGAATAAGGAGCTGTCATAGAAAAGAGGAGAGACTAGAGACATCCCAACTACCTATAATGTGGTTTGCTGGGTAGGATACTGAAACAGAAAAAGGCTATTAGTGGGAAAACTGGTAAAATCCAAAGAGTCTAGAATGTATTTAAAAGAAATATACCGAAGTTGGCTTTTCTAGTTGTGCCAAATGTACCACAGTGCTGTTAAGATGGTAACCATTACAAGAGTTGCCGCTCTCCTGCCCATCTATGACTATACAGGTACCTATTTTTCTCCTTTTCCTAGTAAACCTGTCTTTTTAAAATGTGAAAAACAATAGCTGAAGCTAGGTGAGGAACACACAGAAAGTCCCCTATACTGTCTGCAAATTTTCTGTAAAACTAAGATTGTAACATAAAAAGATTTTTAAAAAGAGGTAGCAGGAGCTCCCTGGTGGTGCATGAGTTAAAGTCTCAGTGCTATCAAGATATTACCAGCCAATGCAGCACACATTCAATCCCCAGCCAGAGAGGTGACTTTCATGGCACGGCAGACCTCTCCTGTCTCACTGCTCCCCTCAGCAGTGTATTTCAGTAGATCTGCCTGTTCTCCCCACTCTGTCTCTGGTGAATCCTCTTATGCCCCACCCCTCTGGCCTACACCCCACTTCCTATATACATAAATAAATCTTTAAAAAAAAAAGCCACAAATTGACCCTAAGTAACCCCTAACCACTACAGGGTCTAACAGTTTGTATTAAGGAAGATACAAGTCTCCTCAGATCATCTTTCAAGGCTCCTTGAACATAAGAATGCTCTGTCCTGGTGAAAGCAATGCCCAGAAACAAGTAACCATTCCTAAGGAGTCATCTTTACCTTACGTTTCTGCTTTGCATTTATGCCCAGTAATTACTTAATCCCATAAACAGGTGCGATTCCGATGTTTTATTTACAGAAACAAAAGATATCTGCTATGCTTCAGGCTCCAGTGAAGTTGATCCCAGCGCACTAGAAAACAGAGGTTTCTGTGCCTCACCTACCCTTGGAATCCGGGATATCATTGCACAGTACCCACTGCGTCTACTCTCCCCATCCTGAGGTGCGTCGGAGCTTAGAGTTCCATACAGCACTGCACTTTGGTTATTCTTGCCCATTTTCAGGAACACTTCACTTCTGCCTCCAATCGTCTTATCAGAAGTCACTATCCACTTATCCAAATCTTCTTTTCCACGGAACTCCCACACAACTCGGGCTTGCTCCAACAAGACCTCATGCAGAGGACGGCCTTCGGGCCCTATCCAGTGACTCACAATCTCATCCTTCAAACGCCTAAAATGGTCCTTTATTTCATCTCTGATTGCTTTATCAAAACTAACTTCAGGTTTCTCCTCAGGAGAAGGCATATCCAAGCCAGCTTCCCTCTGGTGATGGCCTTGCAAGTCCTCTTCAGTCTTTCTCTGAGAGGAGGCTTTGTCAGGAACAGCCACTGTTTTCTGACTAATGGAACAATAGACCGCAAAGCGATTACCCAAAAGTGGATGCAAGGCGACCCTTGGCTTTGGGTATTTGCTGAGACTGTAAGTGCCAGTTAGCAGTTTGTGAACCAAAGCCATGGTAAGAAAAATTCTTAAGTAAATTTCTCCCTAGCAACCAGGGAGAGAAAGTTCAGTAAATAGCCCAACTCCACCTGTAACAGAAGAGATATTAAAGAGTTACCAGAATAGCAATGATCACCATTCAACAAGGTAAAATTCATGAACTTAACTTCTAATGCAACAAACGTTAACCACATAAAACATAAAAGTCTACAGGGCCTACTATGATCAGAACAGTTTACGCTGTTCACAATGCATCCCACTATCGTGAAAAAGTGCCAAGAAAAACAAAAGCACAGGCCCCCTTCAGGGAGTTCATGATCAACCCTAAAATAATCAAGTATGGGTTAAAAGCTACCTCAAGATGTCTTTTATTTTTTTAAAGATTTATTTACTTATACATACAAGAACTGGAGGGAGGCTGGAGGTATGAAGGGGGGATAAGAGGACTCGCCAGAGACATGATGGGGACAGAACAGGTAGATTCACTGAAATACACTGCTAAGGGGAGCAGCAGGTGAGACAGGAGAGGTCTGCTGTGCCATGTGGGTCAGCTCCCTGGCCAGGGATTGAACTCATGCTGCAGTGGCTGATGTTAGCTTCATAGTGCTGAGACTTTAACCCCTGTGCCACAAGGGAGGTCCCTTCTTCACAACAGGGAGGTTGTGTCAATTTTAAAGAAAATTTTATATTGGCTTTTTAAAGAAAATTTTATATGGGTTCCTAAATAAAATATTTTAATTTTCTTTAGGGCCTAAACCAACCAACATAACAATTTATAAAAAGTGGTTCTACGCTGAATACTGTATGTGGAGTCAGAAAATTTGGACTTGATATCTGGCTCTGCCTACTTAATAAGTTAGGAGCCTTGACAATATTACACTTTCATAGAGCTAAACCTAACAAAACTGCTTACTTGCAGGTAAACCAACAATCTTTTGAGGCCTCCCTCTCCTTGGGAGTATGGCTGGATCAACAGCTCTCTACCCATCTTAAGAGAATTTTCTGAAGACCAAATGGGATCACAGCTATCAGACAGTTCTGTGATCTGGAAAGTCTGATAAGATGCCCAATATCGGGACTCCCTGATGGCACACGGGGTTAAGTTGCAACACTATGCAGCTATCACCAGCCACTGTAGCATAGATTGTATCCCATTTGTGAGGTGACCCACATGGCACAGTAGACCTATCCTGTCTCACCTGCTGTCCCCTCAGCAGTAAAATTTCAGTAAATCTACTTGTTTTGCTCCCCACTCTGTCTCTGGTGAACCCTCTCACCCCTGACACCTCTGGTCTATACCCCAGGTCTCTTAAACAATAAATCTTTATTTAAAAAAGTCTTTCCACTAGATGCTGCTGCCTCGATATATGTAAAGACATTAGCCATAATTTTTATAGCTCTAATAACAACTTTGCTTCAGCAGCAGCATTTAATGAGTGCTGGCAAGAAGGCTATAAGAATCTCCATTCCTATCTATTCCAGCTACCCCAAAAAATATACAGTGCTAATTTGCCTTTCTCCTGTCCTAGCCCCAAAGATCAGGAGAGCGGGGGGGGGGGGAGAACCCACTATTTAGAACTGCTCATCTTACTCTGTGCTCCAATCACAGGAAATTCTTGTGGTCTAACAAGTGTCACTCAGTATTCCCTCTCTGAGCTTTAGGCCTTGGCCAGCCACTGTTGCAGGGGAGCAATGCCCTCTCTTATTCTGCTTGGCTAACTGGTTCATCCTTTAGGACTCAGCTTAGCCATCTATTGTCTCCTCCAAATGCCCTTCCTTGACTACTCAGCTCCACCAGTGCCCTCTGATTTGTTCTGTCTGCATCCTAGGCTGACACAGTTCTTGTTAAAATTTACTAACCAGTTTACTTACCACTTGTGCTCACAATACTACAAGTGTCTTTAGAGAAGAGACAATGTTTTAGTATCTCCAGTTCCCAGTAAGGTGCTTGGCATGCCGGAAGCCTCTAGTACTTATTAACCAGATATGTCGTCTCCTCCACCACCAGTGTTCTGGGTCAGGACCTAGTGTGTCTTACCAGGACTACTGTAATCCTCCAATGGTTTACACTGGAGCTTCCCACAGGCTAAAGCCAAAAAATCATCTGAAAATATTGTTAAAATGCACATTCTCATTTAGAAGCTATAGAATGGGGCCTGAGACTCCGCAGTTCTGATAAGCTTCAGGTGATATCTTTGTTGATCCAAGGAATATTCTCTAAGAAACAACATCCTAACTCATCTCCTTGCTAATGATCTCTGTCTCTTCTCCCAATCCATCCTTTGCCTGCAGCAAGAAATTTTTCTAAACATGATGACATTCCTCTTACAATTCAGCAATTCTCCAGATAATCAAACTCCTAAAACAGCACAAACAACTTTCTAAAATAAGTCTACTCCCTGGAATAACTTCTCACATCCAGGAACAATACCCTAAGCTCTAATAAGACTGACTGTAATCATATCTGAACCCAGAAAAAGAAACATTTAAACCACAAACATTGCTACCTTCCTTAATGTGAGTGACTGTTGTACCATAACCAATTATGGAATTAGTCTTGCTTTAGATAGATAAAATCTCAGATACCCAATCTTATAATTTCATACACATCCTGATGTTTCCCCCAAATCACCTAAAAACCCTAACTACAACAGTAAGTCCCTTTTTGTATCTTACTGAGATGCTCCATGGCTCCCCCCCACAGTGTTTTCTACCTCACAAGAAGCAGTGAACCCAATGTGTTTGGCTATAGGCATGTTACACAGTCATAAAAATAATTGTTAATCCCAAGCTTAGGTTAGACCACTAAAAGGCAAGTGAGAGCCCTCCCTGGTGGAGCAACAGGTTAAAGCACAGCACTATGAAGCTACCACAGCCACTGCAGCAGGAGTTCGGTTCCACAACAGGGAGGTGATCCCCATGGCGTGGTAGACCTCTCCTGACCTACCCACTACTCTCCTCAGCAGTGTTTTCAGTACAGCTGCCTGTTTTGCTCTGTCTCTGGTGAATCCTCTCACCCCCACCCCTGCACCTCTGGTCTATACCCCAGCTCTTGTATGTATACATAAGTAAATCTTCAGAGAAAAAAAAAATTTTTTTAAGTAGACAACCTAATAAAAAAATGGGCATAAGAGCTAAAAACACAGAAATGCAAGTGGCCTATAGGCATATAAAAAAAATGGTCATTATCACTTATAATCAGAAATACAAATCAAAACCACAGTGAGGTACCACCTCACACCAGTAAGAATGACCCACATTTAAAAAAAAAAAAAAAACATATGTGCCAACAACAAATGTTGGTGAGCATGTGGAGAAAAAGGAACCCTTTTACATTGCTGGGGGGAATTCAAACTGGTGCAACCACTATGTAAAGCTGTAGATCGATTCTTCAAACTACTAAAACTGGGGCTTCCAAATGACCCAGCAATTGCATTCCTGTGAATCTACCCAAAGGACACAAAAACATTAATTCAAAAGGACACTTGCACCCCTATGTTTATTGCAGCACTATTTATTAAATTATGAAAACGATTCAAATGTCAAAAAAACAGGTGAGTGGACTAAGAAGATGTGGTATTTATACACGATGGAATACTACTCAGCAATCAAAAAAGATAAACTCATGACATTCACAGATGGAGCTAGAAGGGTTATGCTCAGTGAAACAAGTGAGAAAAAAAAAGTAAAATATTGGATGACATCACTCACTGGAGAAATATAGGGAAACCAACCAATGCATTCCCCCACAATACAAAAATTATAGGAAACTATAGATCTGAGACTTAAAGCAGGGGAGAGGGAGAAAAAGGGATTAAAGTAGGGATGGGAAGAGTACATGACACCGTGATAATGATTCACAGGTGATGTGGTGAGAGGACATTTATGGGGACTACATCTGAGAGGAGAGATCAAATACTGTACAAAAGTGAACAACGGAAGAAAAAAAATTAAAGGGCGAGGTAATGATGGAAAAAGTTTCGTTTTATATTTCTACCAATAATCAAAGTCAAACCCATTAAGTGGATGACACCAGATCGAAGCCGACGGTGAATTCTGACAGCAACGTAAACACGCAGCCACAAGAGAGCTTAGTAAAGACTGTGTATCTTCCAATTACAGAGACGAAAAACCAGAGTTGCAAGATCAAATTACCCTGGGTCATAGAACCAGTACATGATAAAACTAATTCTAACGCCCGGAGTATGTAGCTCCTAATCCCAGCCGAGGGAGTGATCCTGGCATTACCGCGCCGAGGTGCCCGCTTCAACTGCTCACCTAGCAACCTTTACCTGCTAGGGCTGTGAGTCCTCACACGTTCCAGACGTAGGACCACCGAAAGCCTAACACTTACTTCCCCCACGGTGCCCAAAAGCGGCTTCCGCTCGGGTCCCCCACTTTCCCCGACCGAGTTCGCCACTTTTCCTTTGCAGGTCCATCTGCTTTTCCCGTCCGATTCCAAACAAGGCATGACACTATAGTTCCGGCCCGGTGTGAAGCCTTGGGAAGAGTAGACACGGCCACCTGAGGCTTTTGGTCCACTAGGGACCTCATATAGGATCCAGATAACGGTAAGCCCCTGGGACCTTAGGTGCCTGTGTCCGCTCGCATCCATCTACGCAAGGTCCCCCGAAGAACTACCCATGAGCTTAGAGGGCTAATTCTGTTGGAACTGCCCCTCAAAATCCTTTACGACCCACTTTGCACCGGAAATTGCAAACGGTCCAGCCAACCTCGCCCAGATGGGGTCGGTCACGCCACAGGGTTTCTATTGTAGCTTGTGTACATCTCTGTTAAAGCACTTTGAACGCTGTATCTTAATTATTAGTTTCTCACTTCTTCTGCCATGTTGAGGTTCTTGGGTCCAGAACTGTGCTGTTCTAGTCTCCCAACACCCAGTATAGCACAACCAAGAATTAAACGCTCAGCATGAATTTGAATGATCTCTAGCAGTTAACACCATTCTTCATGTTTTGTACCAACTTCTGTGACCGGCAGCAAGAAAGGAAAGCAGGAGGCAGAAAGGCTGAGCAAGGAGAGTTTATTGCTCCCAGACAGCAGCTGAGACGGAGCCCCTAGAGTGGGGTCCGCAGCTACTGCCAACTCAATAAGGGGCAAGGTTCTCTTATATAGGTCCTAAGCTCAGATTTCAAAGGGGTGACTCATCGCTGTGTTCTTGATGTAAGGCCCAATTCGTTATCACCTTCATCTAGCCCCATCCCCAGGCAAGGACCCGTTAATTAGATGCAAAGCCCAATTTATTACCACCTTATCACCTTTGGATGCAAGTCCTGATTTATTATTGCCCTTATCCAGTCCCCCAGCAAATCTCCGCATTTGGTCACTCCCAACACTTCAGAGTTCGGAAAGTCCTCATCCAATGAATTGACTTTTTAAGTTTCTTCCATCACTAATTTCCACACCAGCAACTCTTTTTTTCTTCAGTTTCTGCTTTGATCTCGCTAGCTTCTTTGTCTGTTTGCCTACATCTTGAAATCTTCCCTAACTGCCATCTTCATTGACTTTTTTTTCTTTTTGGGATTGTGCCCAAAACCCTGCCTGCCCTTTCCTCTTTTCTACTTTAAAATATGAATTATGTACAGACATTTCTTTGTCTTAAAAAAAAAAAGTACAGCGAAGCCAAGGACTTTGACTTTGCCACCATGTGGTAGTAATATTATGAACTACAGGAATACATGAGAATTGTGGGTAGAAAAATATGGTTCCATTTACACATGGGGCACTAAGGGATGGTTTAAGACCAAAAAGGAAAGTAATCCAGTCCAAAGCAGGTAAGTAAGAAAGATCAAGAGAGGGCCCTCTGTGGTGGCAAAATAGGTTAGAACTCAACACTGCAAGTGAGCAGCAGCCACTTCAGTGTGAGTTCAGTCCCAGGCCCCAGAGGTGACCCAAGTGGCCCAGCAGACCTCTCTTGTCTCACCTGCTGCTCCCCTCAGCAATGGATTTCAGTGGATCTGCCTGTCCTGCTCCCCATTCTGTCTCTGGTGAATCTTCTCACTGCTCCTGCCCCTCTGGCCTGTATGCATAAATAAATATATCTTTATAAAGAACGAGAAAGAGAAATGCAAGAAAACCATGATATTCTGAGGGGAATACTGAGCTCAGGATGTCTGGATACCATCTGCACTCTCACTTCAAAATCAGGTTGCTCAGTTCATTAATGGAAAGTGATCAGGGTATGGTGAATCAATTCTTATTAACCAAAGACAATGATTTATAAGATAGGCAGTCATTTTGTCAAGGACCCCAGAAAATGGTGCACATTTGCTACTAAAATGGCTCTTAGAAGCATGGAAGACTCCACAATCCACATGAGGTTAAAAAAAAAAAAAATGTGAGCACTTCCAAGACAGATAGTGTAGAAAGGGATTAAAAACTTCTGTGAAATGAACACAATGGATGGATGTACTGTTTAAAGTAAAAAAATCCCTCTGAGTGATCATGTTCCATGGGAAGACTCAGGATAATTCATTTACCAAGGCCATAAGGTGCAATATTAAGTGCATCAGCATCACTCAGAGTTCAGTGGTAGTTTTCCTATGTAGGACAGGATTGACAAGAGAAGCTGTTATAAAACAAGGCTTACTAACAGGAATGGGGTGATAGGATCTAGAAACAAGAATCCAGCATTTAATTACCAGAAGCCAGGTAGATACAATTGTTATAATGAGTGGAAAAGCTGGAGTGATAGCCAAGGAGGCCTGTCCCTGGGAGAACTATGGAGACAATTAACAGAACATATCCAAATCATCCCCCAAGGACAAAAGAGATAGACAGCCAGCAAGGCTCAAGTTACCTCAAGAAGAAATCAAGGATCCATCAGCAGGGTGCTGAGGGTAGTTGGCCCAATAAAAAGTGACCATCCCTTGTCCACTTTCATATCTAAGTCAGTTTTCAGACCTTAAACTCTTTAACTAAGAGATGGTCTGCTCGGGGCCCTCTCTGATGGTGCAGTAGGTTAAAGCATACCACTATGAAGCTATCAAAGCCACTGCAACACAAGTTTGATCCCCAGGCAGGGAGGTGACCCACATGATAGACCTCTCCTGACACACTCGCTGCTCCCCTCAGCAGTGTACTTTAGTCAATATGTCTCTGGTGAATCCTTTCACCCTTCCATACCTCTGGCCTATACCCCAGTTCTGTATGTATAAATGAATAAATCTTTTTTAAAAATGGTCCGAGGGGAGAAAATAATAATAATGATGAACAACTATATACCAGAGACATTTTACTGGGGTAAAATGGGGAATGGGATCAAAAACAGTGGGGGGAGGGATGTGCACTGGGCTATGGTGATGGCAATGGATGATTTGGTGATGGGAAGCCCACAGGGATTACAACTGAGATGGAAAAAGGCACAAAATATGTACAAATAAACTATTATATTATTTTTTTAAAAATGGTCACCAAAACATGCTATAATGCCATTGCAAATATACACAATAATAATTTCCCCAGTCCTTTTCTCAAAGCTCACATACATATATGTATTACCATGTTCAAGTATATTTTTAGATATAGTTAAAAAGAACAGAACACAATTAACTTAAAATTGCTAGTGAAGCCATAGTAGTTTTGTCATTTGCATTTTCTTAACAGATGTTAAAAAAAGCTCTTCTGTACTCTGAAGTGGGCTGCATAAAAAGTAGTCCCCACAGCATTTTGAAAGCGTGTCTTTTGTATGTATAAATGTAAGCTCTTGAGAGCTTGAATCTTGTCTTGGCTACTACATCTTTTTCAGCATCTAGCTCAGTGACTGAACTCAAGCACACAGTACATACTTAAGTATGTGTGGAATAAATACATGCACATATCAACAAGTTTGTTTGATAAAATGAATGGGTACTTTTCTTCAAGTTTATCTCTGTATTTTTCTAGATTTCCTACTCTTCTGTAACCCATCTCCACAAGGTTTAACAATTATAGTTGACCTTGCAGAGTGTTTACTCTTCGTTAGGAAGTATTCTAAGTTTTTTTTTTTTTTTTTAAGATTTATTTGTGCATACAGAACTGGGGTATAGGCCAGAGACTCAGGGGCGGTGAGAGGCTTCACCAGAGACAGAGTGGGGAACAGAACAGGCAGATCGACGAAGTACACTGCTGAGGGGGGCAGTGGGTGGGTCAGGAGAAGTCTGCCACACCATGCAGTCACCTCCGGGGCAGGTGGGAATCGAACTCATGCGGAAGCGGCTTTAGATTCTCAGTGCTGTGCTTTAACCCGCGCTACCAGGGAGGGCCCCATTCTAAGTATTTTTAATGTGTTAATTCATTTAAATCTTATCACAACTCAAAGAGGCAGAAATTATCATTATCCTCATTTACTTAACAGGAAATATTCACAGGTTGGACTCTCTGGGAAGCCAGAAGAATTTTAACCAATTTAAAGAGATATATGTACCCATGTTCACCAGCACTATTTGCAATAGCCAAGAGGGCAAACCTAAGTGCATATAAACAAACGACTGATAATAAATGTATATACACAAAATGGAATACTACTCAACTATTTAAAAAAAAATGAAATCCTTCTTGCCTGTCATGTGCATGGAAAGATGGATCTAGAGGGTTTTATGGTAAGTGAAAAAGTATGAAAAACACCATATGATTATGCCTCCTTTGTAAAGACAGAAATAAATCTAAAGAACAAATAAAACAAAAACTCTAGAACAGAATACTGGTTACCAGAAAGGAAGGGGAAAGTGGAGTATGTAAACTAAGTAAAAGGATGAAGGATGGAAACTAGACTTTTGGTGGCAAAATATTATAGCTTATACAGATGTTAAATTATAAATCTGTATACCTGAAACCTACTACATAATGTTATAAATCTATGTTGCTTCAACAAAGTTTGTTTTAAAAAGAGGAATTTTATAATACAGGATGTTTATCCATGTAAGTTAAACAGTCCCGATATGGACTAACTCCAGCCTATGAATCTTTAGAAGACACCTTGCATGAGGATCAAAATTAAAAGATTTCACTCAAATAAAGAACACACTTTTGATTGCCGTTAAGAGTTACTGAGACTCGGAGATGGGAAACCCACAGGGATTACAATTGAGATGAAAAAAAAAATGTACAAAATGATGTAAAAATAAACTATCATATTATAAAAAAAAAAAAAAAGTTACTGACCTGGGCCCTCCCTGGTGGTGCATTGAGTTAAAGCAGCCTCTTCAGCACAAGTTCACTCCCCAGCCAGGGGGAGCTGACCCACATGGCAAAGGTGACCTCTCCTATCTCGCCTGCTGTTCCCCTCAGCAGTGTACTTTGTCAATCTGCCTGTTCTGTTCTACTCCTCACTCTGTTGCTGGTGAATCCTCTCACCTACCCTGCACTTCTGGTCTGTTCCCCAATCCTGTATGTGTAAATAAATCAATATTTTTTAAAAAAGAGTTACTGACTATATTAGGACTTTCTTTTATTAACACATTTAAAGAAGGTCCTCACAAAAGGCTTCACTGTAGCGAGAAATGGGGAAGATGGCCTGGCAATTTTGGGATTTCTTGGCCATGGGCTCAGTCCCAAAAATATGATAAAAGAGAGATGGCTAGGGATATCTTAGGAAAATTCTTTTGGACTAAAGAGATAGCTGGGCATTATTTAGGTTGTTTTCTCTTATTTAGTTTGTTTAATCCTCAACAACTTTTCAAGCTAGCAGCAAAGTGGTTATGTAGGAATGTGCTTGTTCCTATAGGGATTTCTCTATGCATGATATTTTCTCTTATTACTGTTTAAACTTATGTATTATAAACTTATTAGAGGAATAAATATAGACAGTAAACAGGAAAATGGGAGTCAGAGAAAAAGAACTCATCAGCCTGCCTGTGCCCAGTAATACCCAGTGAATACTAGAGTCTAACTCCAAAGTTCACTATCAGTATTAAAAACTAATGGATCCCATCGTAATTTTGAGAACAGTTTCAAACTATTATTGATTATACTCCCTTATCCTGTATCCCAAATCTCACAAAGAAATCTGGAGCTTCTCTTTTTATCAACCGACCTCAAATTCAACAGGTATAAAGATGAATTTTTTCCTTCACATTCTTGGTACTGAGCTCATGGCCAAGAAATCCCAAAATTGCCAGGCCATCTTCTCCATTTCTAGCTACAGTGAAGCCTTCTGTGAGGACCTTCTTTAAATGTGTTAATAAAAGAAAGCCATAATATAGTCAGTCCTCCTCTCCACTTGCAATCGTTATCTTGATAATCACAAGTTTAGGACATCCTTTCCCCAAACCTCCCACTAATTTTCAAGTTCTGGAAATTCTAATTTCCAAATTACCCAGAATTTATCCTCTTACTTCCATTCCCTTTTCCTCTTCCTTAGCTCAGGACACCAGCATCTTTTACTAAAATGATACCAACTTAAAAGTGTTTTCCTTGCCATTTCCTTCTAATTTATTGGATACGCTGTAGCAGGGTAGCTTTTTTTTTTTTTAAAGATTTATTTATTTATTTATGCAGACTGGTGTATAGTTCAGAGGTGGAGGGGCAGTAAGAGGATTCACCAAAGACAGAGTGGGGAGCAGCACACGCAGACTGATGAAGTACAGTGCTGAGGGGAGCAGCAGGTGAGACAGGAGAGGTCTGCTGTGCCATGTGAGTCACCTCCCTAGCTGGGGATACAACTTATGCTGAAGTGACTGCAGCTAGTTTCACAGTGTTGTGCTTTAACCCACTGCGCCACCGGGAGGCTCCCTAACTTTTTTTTTTTTTTAATCTTAATAAAGTTGCTATTTAGCTTAAAATCTTTTAATACTAAAATTTAAACTTCCTAATATAACTCATTAGGCTCTGAACTATGAGGCTCCTGCGTCTCTACCCAGCCTTGTTCTTACATACCAAACCTCTCTCCGGCCATAAAGAACTTTCAGTTTCCTCAACCCAACCCTTCCTATTATCGCTAGACCTTTGCCAACACTGTTGTCTGCTTGGAACACCATTCCCTCCACTGTCTTTGGGTAATTCAGATGTTTCATCCTCCAGTGTCCAGCTCAGTGGTCACTTGCATAGCCTCAAATAGGCAGGTTTCATCCACCAACGGGTGCCTTCGGCGCGGTCCAGACAACGTGCGTCTTCCCGGCGGGCTGATGTTGCTCCCGACACTCCACTATCGGACAGCAGAAAGGCTTCTCAAGGCAGACATAGATGCCTGCGGTCCGGACAGGTAGCTAACCCATCCGTGTACCGCTCGCAGCAAAGATACACTTTCCGTC